ACTCCAGTCTGCATTGGGCCTGAGAGCTTAACCAGGCCTCAGCCAAGGGGCCTGCTCCTGACCAGGCCTGGCCCAACCTCACTCACAACATGCCCTGGGAACAGTATCATCCTGTCATCCTCAGTGTCTTGACCCTGCCAACGGGCAGCAGCGCCCGGGTTTCCAGGGAACACACTGCAGGGCAGGCAGCTCACGCAGGAGGATGGTCTGTGAGGATGGGAGCTGCCCAACAGGGCACAGCCTTGTGGCTGAACATAGAGTGCACACGCACTCTCACGCACATGCATGCACCCCAAGGTCAAGCTTTCCTGAGCATCCAGCAGGAATCGCTGCTCTGCCTGCAAATAATAAAACCATCCTCCATCAAAAACCCCCCCACGCATGGCCTTCTCGCCGAGGCTTTTTCAGGCATTTGCAAGGGGAGTTGGACTCCCCTAGAAGGCAACAGAGGACTGAGTGGCCCCAGAGGGGTCAGAAGGCACAGCAGTGTCACTGTGGACCCCTGCCCCTCTGAGATAGTGCCTGGAGCTAATCTAGAAGCACATCACGTCCCTCCATCACTTCTCCATTTGACAGATGAAGACATGAGGCACAAGCTGGTAAGGCTCCCCACCCAAGGTCACAAAGCAACTGGGAATCTGTTCCAGATTCTGGGGCTAATACCCCTCTCCCTACAGATATGAATGGAGTGGGCACCCATCCCTGTTGTGGGGTCTGGATATAAGCAGCACGGGAGCACTTGGACCGGAGACCCTGCACAAGGCAGAACCAGCACCCACAGCCAGCCATGGGGTCCTTCTCATGGCCCCTGCTTCCTCCCGCCTTCGGTTCACTAGCCCTGCCAGGTCTGTGGGGACCACAGTCACGGCCTCCAACAGGACATCAAGACTGTCCTGAGATGGCCTTGGGAGAAGAAGGGGGCATCTGGGGCCTGCTCTTCACCAGCAAACCCAAGGTTCTAATTAGCAGCTTCTGGAGCATCTGAGCGCCCTGGCTATAAGTGAAGGAAATTTGCTTCCTAATTGGGTCCCTGCCGGGGTGTCGATCAGAGAGCAGGATTACGTGGCCCCCCCAAGTCTCCCTCCCTGCCAGGCCTCCTTAGCCTCACCTACTTGCCAGTCCCCAGGCCAGCTAGCTCCCTCCCTGTCCTCTTGCTGCTCATCTTCCCCTAGGCTGGCCCAGGGCAGCCCCAGGTACAGGAGGGACACATGCTACTCCCTCTTCATCCAGGGGCTCAGGGTCCATGGTCCCAACAAGATGCAGGGAACATTCTCCACAAGGTCCACAGAGCCTGCGCAAGACCTGGCCACAGCCTCAGAGCAAGACCTGGAGCTTCCCAAGTGACTAGGGCCCCTTCCCCACCGCTGTGGGTGCCAATAATGCCTCCTTGAACAAGCCCTACCCCTCTCCCTAAGACCCTCCCCCTCCCCCATTCTGCTGGGGTCTTTTATGCCCTCCCCAGAATCCCTGCAATCTCCTTCCTGACACTTGTTTGCTTTGCCTGAACACACAGGCCTGAACACTGAGCTGGGGAGAGAATACTCCACAATTTTGGGGTGACCAAGAACATCAGGGACATTCCCAGGGATCAGAAACACCCCCTATACACCTACCTCCAAAGCCTCCCATTATGGAGAATGTGAGGGGACGGTGCCAGTCTGGATGAGGGCACAGTTAGGAAGATATTAAGCTGATGGCACAACAGTTTTGGACCTCAGCAGCTCCCTGAGAGAAGACCCCCCTTCTCGCCTACATCTGCTGACCCTCAGATCCCGCCTGCAGCAGAATTGTGGACAACAGGTGCAGAACACCTGGGCTGTGTTCCTGGGGGGGGGGGGGCAGAAGAGGGTATGGCAGCAGTGAGGTGTGAAAGGAGGGCCGCTAGCTGGCCTTGCCCCTCTTATCTTGGCACAGGTAGGGCCCTGGAACTAAGCAAAGTGTGGGAGGAAAAGAAACTACTGTGGAAAGGAGCAGGAAACTGGTGTCCATAAGGAAAGTCACCTCACCAGCTGGGCCAGAGTCCCCATCTGTGAAGTGAGGGGACTAAGCCCCATCTTCGATCCACATCACTCAGATAACCCATGAGAAAGTCAAGTATAGGGGGACACTAAGGGCCAAGTCAGGGAGTGAAGGCAGAATAGAGCTCAGAGGTTGTGCCCCTCCTCCCAGAGAGATGGCCCCTGAAGTTGGTGGGGAGCACCACAGAGACAGGGCTGGGGGGGGGGTCCCTCTGAGTCTGTCAAGAAGAGGGTGCCAGATCCCTGTCAGCTAAGAGAGGGGCCCACCTGTTGGAAGGAGCAGCAGGAGAGCTTGGAAGGGACCAAAGTAACCCCTGGAATATCAGGGGTAAAGAAGCAGTGTTTCAATTGAAGTATGTCAGAAGAGAATATCTTTGGTAACTTAAAAAGTACAAGTTTTTTTTTTTTTCACTCGAATGGAATAGGGGCTGAGGATCAGCACCGCCAGAAGAGTGCTCAGCGAGTCTCTTCTGGCCGCTCTCCACCGTGTCCACTTACAGGATGCTTCAAGACTAAAATCAAAACAGCCCTTCCCCAAGCAGGCCCGCCTCTTCCTTTCCCCCCAACCCCCTGTTCTGGGCGGCGAGCGGGGAGGAGGGCGGGCCGGGGCAACACAGGGCTCTCCCCCACCACCCTTGGCTCTCAGGCCTGTGGAACCCAAGCCTGGGGGCGCTGGGTTCCGAGACCTCATCCCACAGGAGCGTGGGCCTGTGGCCTACCTCTGGGCCCCAAAAGGCTTAGGGGGTGCTGTCCTGATGCTCAGGGACAAACAAGCCTTATCCAGAACAACCTGAGGCATCCCTTTGCCGCTGCCACACTGGCTTAGAGACCGCACTCCCCTTATCTTTAAACCACCTCCAAGTTCAGTTTCAAAGTCAGGGTTTGCTTTCTCAGGGAGTCAAGTTCCTGGACTGCCTGGGGGTGCAAGCATTGTAAGGTGCTTTTAGGAATTGACTGGGGACCCAGAGGGGTCTGGAACAGGGAATCCCACAGCCTGGCCACTTCTGAATTGACAATGCAAACCCTGCAGGTGGCCCTGGCTTTACCCTGAGGAGGTGGCTGGCTCCCCGGGCCTGTGTGCTGGGCTTCAGTGGGGGCACACGTGTGTTGTGCATACATGTATGCATGCACTCTCATGCAGCAGGAGACAGCTTGAGAAGGCCTCAAATTCCTATGGGTTCCTTGGGGCCTCATCACTCATTTCATTATGCTTAAAGGTCCCAACCATTGTCCTCATTAAAGAAAAAAACCTTTCGGCTGGCTCACACAGCAGTGAGGACCTCCATGAGGCCTGGCTTTCCTGACAGGCTGCCAGACCCCCTTAGTCGGGGTGGGAGGGGAGCCGGCGAGGGGGAGGCGCTGGGGTATGAGTTCTGGACAATGAGGCCTCCTCAGGGGCCCTTCCCTTTTCACCCGCCTCCTCTATCTCTGTTCCTTCCTCTCCTCCCACCCAGCTGCCTATGGAATCCTAAAGGTCACTTTTCTGGGAATCTGGTAGGCCCCTGGCCCAATGCTGGGTGCTTCCATATACACGTACAGTAGGGACATCACTACAGACAAGGAAACTGAGGCTCAGAGAAGTGGCTGGGTAGACCCGCTCCAGGCCCAGGAGGAGCAGGATGCAGGGAGACTTGGAAAATGGACAGAAATGACAAACCACCTCACTTCCCCCAGGGAGGCTGGGTGGTGCTAGGTCACCAGGTCCTTGATTGGCACTCACCTCCAGGGTCCAATTAAGAGAGTAGACAGGCAAGGCAAGCAAGAGACAGATGGCAGGGAGGCAGTGTGGATGGTCCAGGGCCAGGGGAAGAGGCCCAGCTCTGACCTGAATCAGCCAGAACCAGGTCGGGAGGAGTGTCCAACAGCAGAGTCAAGCCTGGACTCGGGGGCCTCCTGGACTTGTGTCCAGGCTGAGGCTACTTCTTGGCTGGGTGACAGGGGCCTCTACTGCCCACAGGGACACTCTGATTTCCATGTCTCACCTCTGCCAGGAGACAGTGGAACATCCCCTTGGGACTTCTTGCTCTGCTGCTTTGAAGTACCCCCTCAGCAATTTGCACACACCTGACCACAGGCCACTAGGGGATCCCCTCTGAGGTATCCTTCATGCCCACAGTCAGGCCTTGACCCTGATCACCTGGTGTCAGGCCAGCCCAGCCTCTGGCCAGCACAAGGCTCTCAAGACCAGAAGCCACAAAGCCAGCCCCTCACCTCCTCTCAAAGGGCAGGGCTGGTGCAAAGACATTCTCAGCAAGTGCTTACAGGACGCAGGAAAGAAGAGCCCAGAAGAGTGGGGCCTCAAGAGCCATTGTCCCCAGAGTGGAGTGCAGGTAATGGGTCACCCCCTTCCCAATGAAGGGAGCCTGAGGGCTTGGGTAACAGGAATCCCTGTGGCTCCCAGGACTGTCAGCCACACAGCTGACAGAGAGCAACTTTTGGCTGCATTTGCACTTCAGCTGCATCTGAACTACTGCGGAGACATTTAAAATGCAGATTCCTGACCCCACTCAGGCTAGAGGAGTTAACGCTGGGAAGAAAGGAAGGAAGCTTTAGGAAGCCCCTTTTCTGATGCTTGGAGGACTCATTTTGAGCAACAGGTTCAGGTTAAATGTCATGGTACAGATAAGGCCACAGAAGACCAGAGAGGTAAAGTAAGTGGCCTAGGATCACACAGGCCCTTGGGGCAGAATAAAGGTCAGAGGCCAGTCTGCAAATTCCAGCCTGAGGCCACCCCATAGGCTGGGTAACCCCCTGAAGGGAAAGAGGGTAAACCAGCATATATTCCGCACCCCCCCACCCAAGACCTCTGCCTCCAAGGGTCAAGTAGCAGAGATGAGAAATCCCCAAGCATGGGCTTGGTCTCCTGTTGAATCCCACGGCTCCTGCCCCATCACAGGGGCTCTTGACTGACACCCACCCAAGGCCATCTGCACCCCAGCCCCAGCTCCTTACTCCGCCCCCGACAAGGGGACTCTCACTCACCATAGTCCTTCTTGCAGTACTTTTTCATGTTAATCTTCAGCTTCCCTTTGGAGGCCTTGCAGTAGGAATCGCAGTCTGCAGGGGAGGGGAGAGCACAGACAAAACCTAATTAGGCTGGCGATGAATAGGCTGGCGGGCGAGCGGGAGGCCACCTCCCTAAATACGCAGAGGTCTGTGATACCCATGGGCCAGGCCGAGCAGCCGGCCATTCAGGGCAGGGCTGGCCTTCTAAAGAGGCGCTTGGACAAAGGACCCCCGCCTGACCCACTCCCCCCCAGACTGACGAATCCTTGAGCCGCTGCCTGCAGCCCCCTTGGCCTCCGTGAGGAACTCTGGGGGCTCCGTATTGTGCCACCCAGGGCTTCTGAGCACCACACAAATTCCCCGTTCTTAAGACACAACTGGAGCCTGATTAAAGCCGATAGAGGCCTCATTGTCACCCCGTGCCCCGGGTCTGTGTCAGGCGCTGGCTTTCATGGCGCGGAGCCTCTGGCTGGGGTCAGGTCCCAACAAAAGAGGTCACGGAGGAAATTAGCAGCCCATGAAGCATTAGAAAACCCCTTTGGTGTCCACTCCACTGGAGTGTGCAAATAAAATGCCCCACGAAGAAGAGTTCAGTTCTAATGGGCTCTACTGCTGAGCGGCAGGGCTGCCAGGGCAGCCCAGGGGCTGGGGAGCCCAGCCTGTTTGAGGAGCAGCAGTGGCAAGGGCTGGGGAAAGGGGCCCTTGGGGCTGTTTGTCCAAGTGAGGGATGGGGTACAGTAAGGGGAGCAGAAAGGTGAAAAGGAAACACACATATGGTGTACACATGCACACATACACGCATGAACACAAACACGTGGGCCAGCCCCTCGACCTGCACTGCGGAAAACCAAGGCCAAGGTGGGAGTTTGGAATGATTGGTGTGGGAACACGGGCCAAAGTCAGAGCAGGCAGTTAGGCCTGCTCACTTCACCCTCCCCTCCCCAACCAGAGCTTCACTCTGCAGGGACTATTCAGAGTTCAGCCCCGGAGTCAGCCTCTGCCCCCAAGAGAGATGGCTGCCTCCTTTGAGGTCCCAGATACACTGACTGGGCTGCAAGTCAAGTCACAACAGCTCTATCACATTGTCCTGGGGCTGGCAACCCCCTGCTGCCTCTTGGGTCAGCTCCTTGGGGTCCCAGTTAGAAAGCAGTCTCAGGAAATGGGAGAAAAACAGACCCCCTTCTTGCTTCCCCATAGCGTGGGCCCTTCGACTGATGTCCTGATCTGGGGGCACCTGCACCACCGTGCCAGTCCCTCCTGCTGGCTGGCTGACCAGTCAGGGGCTGGTTGGTTGCTGGAGTGGGGACATTTTTGATGCACTTTTGGGTCATCTAGAATGGTCCTGATCCTGCCATGGCCAAGCCAGAGAGGTCAAGATGGTGGCCCCAAAACGATGGTGGCCTCGTCTCTGCCAGCTCAGGGACAGATGACACCCTCAGCAAAGCCACTGCTGTGGCCAGACCCAGGTTGTACGTTAAGTCCTCATAGTCCCCAACAAGCTGGCTGGAATCCCACTTAGGGGAGCAAGTTGAAATGTGATACAGTGACATTATTCCAGGGATGGCCTTGGATCAACCTCCTCCTTTTCTTGTTATTTTTTTATAAAAGCCATTGGCTCACATCAGAACTTGTATTTCAGTCAGCAGGAAATCACCCACTCTGACCTCCACTGCAGAGACAATCCTGGTGTCAGCCCCCAGGGAGACAAGCCCAGGGTGAACGCACCTAGTAGAACCTCAGTTCTTCTGAGCCCATGAGGGAAGGGCTATAAATCCTATTCTATAGACTAGAGCTCAGGAAGGTTCCAGAGTGCCTGCCCCAAGCAAGCCCCACACCTGGGAAGGGAATGCCGAGTACTGCAATAACCCACCCACTGCACCCCCGGCCCCCACGTCCTCCCTGTCCTCTCCAACACTTTCCCTCCTAGTAACATCTACAGCTCTTCTTTCAGAGCCAAGTATCCACCTGGGAGAGAAATCATCCTAGAAAGAATGGTATTCATCACTGTCTAATTAGATGGAGCTCCAGACGCTCCTTGACAAATCACAGTTGTCCCCATGCTTATCAAGGGCCTGTACCTCAGGGGTAACAGTCACTCACATGGCACTAATGAGGTGCAGCACTGCTCTCCACCCCGCCAGTGAGCCCCATTTCACAGATGAGGTGTCTTGGCTGCTGAATCCAGGCTCCTCACTCTGATTCTCACAAGCTGCGTTGTTCAGCCACTTTAAAAAACATTGATGTCTGGGCCCTATCCCCAAGAGATTCTGATTTCACTGTGCAGGGGGAAGCCTGCATGTCCACATTTTTAAAGTTCTCCAGGTGATTCAAAAATGCAACCAGGGTTAGCACCACTTCCAACCAAATCTGGGTTAAGACAGGGATAGGTTCACTGTAGCCAAGAGTTGCACAGAACCCTCAGCTCAGCAAAAGAAAGGCCCAGATGGGTAGTTGCTGACTCAAAGCAGAGAGTGCTTAGATAGAGAAGCTCAAGTGGTTTGTCCTCCCAGAAAATGGTGCCTGCCTCTGAGTATGTGCAATTGTATTTGCTTTGTTGTAGGTAGGCCCCATGCCTTTCCTTCTGTCTGTAAGCCAGAAATTCCTGTCAGGTCAATGTGCTTGCTATAAAATGCCCCCAGCTCCCTTCAGATTTGTTCACTCCAATTTAGCTGTAAACTAGGAAAACAGAAAGACCAAGATTATTAGAATTGTATGCAAAACATGGGTGAACGGGCCTGGAATGAGAGATGGAATGACCCTCTGGACTCGGGCACTGTGGCAACTACCTGACTGCTCTGGGGTCTTTCTTTTGGTTGTGTTCCAGAGAACTGAGGTCCCTGGATAAGGAAACTGTTCCTACGTTTTCTTCCTTTACCAAATACACACCAGTCTTACAGAGACTGCATCAGTATGAACAAGCCACAGCTTTAAAATTCAGCTTTGACTCCTTCAAAATGGCATCTGCTTGGCAGCCACCTACACAGCCCCTCCTTGTTTTGTTCCAAAATAGCTATAAAGACAATGAAAAAATGCAAATTCACACTAATGCCAAAAACTAAACTGATAGATGACCCAATGTTGGAATCTGGGAGCAATCTCTACTAATTAAAGGCAGATGGTGGTAGAACTAGCAAAACCTGTTCAGGTTTTACCTCAGGACACAGTTCTTTGTCAGATGAACAGAAAGATGCTGAAAAAGAAGATGACAGAGAGACAACAACCAGAAAACACATAGGCAGTAAGTAGGTGGGGACATGGAAGGTGCTGTCCTCCTCCAGGTAAGGGAAACTTAAGGAAGGGAAGGGACTTAGGGAAAACAGTGTTTGTAGCTGATATCTGAACTTGTATTTTGATCTAAATTAATGATACAGATGAGAAAATCAGGCAGTAGAGATAGATATCACCTCCACACACTAGAAATGAATCAAAGGAAAAGGCTGGTAGGAGCTAGGAATGGAGATGAAGCTGCCTACATTCCCCTCCACCCAGCTTGGAATGGGGATCCAGCTTTCACATTAGTACAGCGATTTGCACATGGTTTTGCAAATGGCTAAACAATATATATTTCAGGTTCTGCAGACCATACTGTCTCTACCACAACTATTCAAACTCTCTTGCTGTAGCTTAAAAACAGCCAGAGACAATGTTATTGAATGGAATGGCAGACTAAAAAGACTTAGCCTTGATGAAAAGCCACACAAGAAAACTTGTCTGACCTGAAACTGTCATGATACAAAAAGGAGAGAAAGAAGAGTTGGAAAAGCAAAATCCAAACCAAAACCTAAAAATTCAGAGCATAATTAAAATCTACTTTTGAAGCAGTAAGGAGAAATGAAAGCATAGAAAACTGAATTCAGAAACAGAGAATTGGGGGAATGCTCACAAAAGTTAGAGGAAAAGAATAGAGGCTGAAAACTAAGAGAGAAAATCTAAGGGTGTAAGAGAGAAAATGGAGCAGTGACATATGGTTGAGAGAGAACTGCAACAGAGACTAAAGGGAATAGAAACAAGAATCAAAGAGAGCTAAAGACAGACCTACATATGAACAAGGTTTTAAAGGACTCAAAGAATTGTTTGTAAAACCAAGGAAAAGAGCAATACTCAGACATGTCTTTAGAAAATTATGAAATGTAAAGATGGAAAAAAATTAAACATAAAAATCAACAATGAGAAGAAGTTAGCCAGATGACAATGAAGCAATGCCTGTAGCTCTTGAAGGGAGAAAGTATGTGACCCAGGAATTTTATACCCAGCTACACTGTCTTAATGCATGCAGGCCATAGTAAGCAAAGATATCATCAAGTGCGCAAGGGCTCAGAAAATATCATGTACACTTATCAAAATAAGTTTAAAATATTTGAAAGAGAGAATGTATTAAAAAACTATCAAACTTGGTTTGACAAATTAGAACATATTAAAAAAAAAAGTAAAAAGTAGAATGAAACTCTTAAGATGGCAGAATACAAAAGATGCCATTTCATGCTTGATTCTAACAAATAAGAACAATTAGATCAAATAGTGCTTTTGAAAAACTCAGAGATAATCCCAACACTAGACAAGCCAGGAAATAAATTATAGGTAATATCCCAAACAAGAAAAAAGAAAAATTGGAAAATATAAAAAGCAATTTTGATAAGATCACAGAAGAGCAACTCCTATCTAAAACTATCTAAAGACAAAACAACAAAAGTAAATGGATTCAACCCCCATCAAAAAAACACTGCTTAAAAGTATTACCCCACTGTTTAACAGGGGCATAACCAAACAAAGCAAAATTTTTTTGTTAATACTTAAAACTTTTAAAGATACTTGTCACCTGGTGACAAAGAAGTTCATCTTATAATAAAGAATGTTTTGTGTGGGCTAACATCTTATTGAGATATATTAACCAAAAACTGTTAAAAATACAAAAAGAAACAAACATTTAAGAAGTGAAAGAATGCTACATTAACTCCAAGAAGCTGAAATTGTACAGGCCACATTTCCTGACCACAATGTAATAAGTATTATTATTAAACAAAAAAGAATGAAATTAAATGAAGCATATTCAA